TCTTCTTCTTCTTCTTCTTCTTCTTCGGCTTTTCTGGCCTCTGCTGCAATTCAAATGTGAAATGACGCATTTTAGCCACAATTAATAGAATTCTGTATATCTAAAACCAGCTGTGGGGTAAATCAGAAACAGAGTAAGAAAGGAAGTTTAGCGAACTTTGAATTTTAAATTACTTGAATATTCGATTAAAAATTCATTCGTGTTTTAACTAATCTAATTAATCTGTCTTCTTTTTTTATTTCTTCAAATTTTGTGAAGAAAATCTGTGAAAGCATGTTCTATTACTTTTTTTCTCTAATAAATAATTTCGCAGTACAAAAGTCACAGTTCAAGTAACCATGCTAAGATCATTTCGGCCAGATTCGGTCAATTGTCAAAACATTTCCAACAGATTTCTCATAATTCATTGTTGACAAGTGACTACTAGCAGCCGAAAAGCAAACTATCAGAAGGGAAATTTTTGACCAACACAGATAACCATTTAGATATAATAAGTATTAATTCTTAGTTGAGCATAAAAAAAAAGCTATAAAATGCATTCACAATAAAAGTTGTTGGTGACATTAATGGGTAATTATCATCTTCCGGAAATGAGAGAAGGGTGCATATTATTGTAAAGTTGAAAATTCCTTATTCGTTAAAATCAAAAAGCAGGCCAAGATAGGGACGGCAGAAAAAAAGAAGGACTACATATTACGCAAAAGTGATTTGCCAATTTCAAAAGTGGCTTTAAAGGGCATACGATTCTACGCACATTTTTCGAAATAATAAACCTTGAATTAATCGAAGGTTGCCTCCAGCATTGGTGCTTTTAAAGCAACTTATTGTTAAATAAGGCTATAAGTTTATTGTTGAGTTCTTTTCGTACTTTGAATTGGTTGAGTTGTATTTTGACACTAAAAAAAAAAAAAGCTAAATATGGCAGATATCAAAGGTACTGTTCCTGCAATTTAACACGCCTGTTTTCTTAAAGAGGACTATTATTTATAGCTAATTTTTTGTCTTTTGAAAAGCATATTTTTCATAAGTATTTGATCTTGATTAAATGTATGCACACGTATCCTAAACAGAAAACACGAATGTTTTCTAGACTAGAAGTCTAAATCATTTTGTATATGTACGTCTGTTTTTCTCAAAATCGTGCTGGATTACTAAGTTTACATTAGTTGACAAAACATTAAATCAGTATTAGTTTGAAAATCGCAGCAATTATGCTTCATCATAGCAAAGGTGCTGTTAATCTTTACTAAGGTGACCGAGTCTGTCCATATCTTGTATAGAGGTTGGCTAGCGTTCTCAGAATTCAGATTATCAGGGGCGTGTGTAAACACTGTGTTCGTACGTTATGACTCCACCGAGAATTTGACAAATCGACAAAGTCGTTAACGAGAATAGATAAGTTTAGTGAAAACACGACAGCTTTTTAAATGGGAGCTTTCCGGGCAGAACGTCCGAACAGAATCTCATCTGCTTCTCCCTGATATGATGCGGTAGTAGATTGTTTCTGGTAAGCTCGTTTGGAATTGGCACCACGATACATTGTAGGATTTACGAGTTCATAACCATTGCCCTCTGTAAATCGTACGATTTTCTGTAACAGCTCTTAGAGATGCCACTAACGGTCCACATTATTATCATCAGCAACTGGCTAATAGTGCCAAAGTTTGCTACCTAAGCACGGCATCTACATGGGTCTATTTCTGTTATTTTGATAACGCGCTCATGTGGCCTCTTGGTTGATTAGCGCTAAGCCGACTGGGCGGAACGTTTTAAAAATATATTCAGGAATGAAAGGATGTAGTAGCATCGTATTCTACAACCACTAGCTACGCATACATCATGTATTCTAAGTCTGACGCATGGCCGAGACAGCGTATAGGGGATTCGTGTTCAGCTATCGTTTACAATTATGTTCCTATTATAACGTGCAAGTAAATTTAACACCTCAATTTACATTCAATCTAGTTCTGTTATAGCCTATTACGAGTTGAACAGAGACGCTCATGGATATGTTCTAGAAGTAGACATACATACGTATTTTGTGCTACGAAATTCCTTTGAGCCGTCTTGAGCTTTATTCACTGCAACGTTTTCTCTAACTAGAGGAAACGAAGTCAGCTAGGGCGTTTGCTTAGCTACGCTTGATAGTTTCAATAGGTTTAATTTTTAAAGAGCTATAATTATTCGAAATATTTTATTGTAACAGCAAGGAATAGTTACGTGGTACAAAGAACAATATCAAAAATAGTAATCTTTGATTGGCTAATAGCCGACTCACCAGATAGTTCCGCTTGGTGTTCCATCAAGAGGATCTTGTCTCTGCGATAAAGCTGTTCCTGCTGCTGCTGCTTCGATTGGAAAACGTTGCTGAGTGCCGCTGAGTTCCTTTCAATGCGACCACGAAACTCAGCCACTTGCTTTCGAAGGTTTCCTAAAAAAGTCAGAACTTACTTGCGTGTGAAAATTGATGTGTTTCGATTTTTTTTTTTAAACCAGAGAACCAAAGCACAGCAACAGAATAAAATTTACTTTGTATGCCGAGCTTTTGCGTAGTACTCGCCGGACCACTGGCCTTAAAATGGGCACATCGTCATTCGAGTTCCCTCTACCTGCACTATTGTCCCTTTTGTACTCGGTATTATATAAACTACTATTTGATACACTATCAAGAACTTTATTTCGAACTGCAGTTCAATGCTACACGCATATTTACCCGTTTTGTAGCTTTTCATTACGAGCTTCAATTTTCTCGAGTTTACTCGTCATTCCAGCAGGCTTATCTTGCCAGTAACCGTGTCTCCTGCAGGGTGACCTGCAGGAACCCATTGGCGTCTCATCTTGGTCGTCGAACAAACCTTTTATTTCTCAATAAGTACAGCAATCTGTCCTGACCTTTCAAAGTTTAGAGTGACGGCAGGTTCCAGTAGATTTACATACGGCTAATGCAATGCCATACAGAGGTAGAGTGGGACTGCACAGAGAAAAGGCGCTGGCTGACTCTTAGTTGTCCATACGATATTCCTAACAGGATTAAACCGTGCTGCGTTCCTATCGGCCAACTGCACTAGAAGCCGGACACATTCAGGGCGCTGCTATTGAGCAGTTCATACACCATGCACCTAGTGAATAATTAGCATTACTTGCGTAACCTGCTCCTCTGATGTCCGAATATGTATACGTCGCCGACATGAATTACGTTACTGCTACTATACACTCTACCGCAGGCTATATGTTCTTTTTTCCGTTTGAGAAGGAAGCCTTATGTATGTAGCATTTGTGAGCCTTCTGGAGCGTTTGTGTTGTAGGCCTTACGAAAGGAAAAAAAAGAACGATGGTGTTAACTTTTTGTCCAGCTTTTGCCACGACCAAATCAATCGACCAAACATAAAAACGTCATCATCTATTAAATTAAAATAACATTTGGCAAGTGACAATATTAAATCGTACATTGCGTAGAACTCTAAATAGTTATTTGTCACTTGAAATATAGCTCGATAAAGTATTGTTTAATTCCAGGATCAATTTTGTTTATATATAACGGTAGATGACGAGCCACGAGCTGTCCAAAAAGGCCGGACTCAGTCCGCGTAGGCATTTTGTCTTAGAAAAAAATTTATAAAACTACGATATACGAAGTCTATCCATTGTACACGAAGCTATGCAAGAGGATGCGTTAATTAAGTTACATATACAAATGATAAACGTATTTATTTATTTTGAATAAATGTATTTCGTTCACTCTCTGTTATTTTTTGCGTATGCTTTTTCAATCTGCCCATCTTAGAAAAGGCTTATATTTTACTTTTCAAACTCAATGCGCTCAACAAACGTAAGAAAAGCTAAAAAACACGAAGGTTGGAGTCTTTGGAAACACGGTGAATAACGCAAAAGCATCGCAACATCGATCGTAAGTTTGCGTTTAACCAGCGAGCAAATGATACTTGAATGGTGTTTCCGTCTAAAGACAAAAGTTCCCACAGTCATTGTTACCCTAAGGTTAGCTCTTTTTTTTTTTTTATTCTTTAGTCTCAAGAGAACATGGATACAAAAGTAGTGCAGGAAGTCATGCATCAGTTTGAATGACGTGTGCACAAAGATACCAGTACAGGTACAAATAAATGGCGGCTGCGTGCGTGATAGAATAGGTAACGATCACCATGTAAATTCGCTCAAGAATAAGAAAGCAAATTTAAGCTATCAATCCAGCAACAACAACAACACCAATCTCTGAGTAATTCTGCTTTGGTAACGCAATATCCAAGAGTCCTAATAGATCAATTTCTTCTGGGTCCATCATCTGGGTTTCTATTATATGTCACTAATGCAGCCCGAACTGAATCGTCAGTGTTAAGTAAATGCTGTCATTAGAACTTCATTTCATGTACATTTTAGTTATCCTTTGAATACTGCGACGAGGAAGTGCAACCCCGGTTAAAAGATATGGTGTTCATATGATGGCCTTTTGCTTACTAGCACCCTTCCAAACATGTCATTTCGTAGACCATCTCACTTCATTATCCGCCTTTTGTTGCCTTACAAAGATCATCAAAGTGCTAAATATAGACGTTTTCCAGCCACTAAGTCCCGAATGGATAGAAAATGTTGTGTATTAATTGCGTTCTCGTACGGATTGTCCCTATCCTCCAGTTCAGGTACTATTTTCCTCAGGACAGAGCTGTCTTTTCTCCATTTTCCGGCAACAATATACTTTACCCATAGCGTTTTACCTTACATTAAATAGATGAATCTCAGCGATAATAGCCGATAATTCTACTAACACGTATCAACGGGCCCGACATTGCCAGTGTTTTTTGGTCCACTTTTAATACTTAAAGCCTAATGGTACGTTACACTTGACGTTTTGATGGAGAGAAAGGGAAACGATCCATATGCAACCATGAGGCTCGCCGTCTGCACTGGTGATCTCGGCTTTTGCAAGAGTAGTAGCATTCATCAGCGGATACGATTGTCCCCTTGCACCCACAGTGTCCGCTCTCCCCTATAGAGTCTGCCGTCTACAAACATCGTTATAAGAACGTCTTGTAAATCGTTGTCAGTGCTTGATCGAGAGTGGTTCAGAACCAGCCACGAATAAATTGACAACCATGGCTTGTAAGTGGATATCATTTCTTGCCGTTACGGGGCTTTCCATCGTCGGTAAGTTGACTTCTTTATGCGTATATAATAGTATCTCTTGATAAGCCTACCTTTGTCTCACATGCAATTTCAGCGATGTCATATAAAACACAAAGCAGCTTCACTTCAGAATAAGCGTATCGATTATTGGTAAAATACGCAACGTAGTTCCCACTCAGCGTCTTATTTATGCCTTTATTAACTGATTAACGAATTGTTTGTACCGATTCGTGTTTTCAAAATCAGTGTATAATATATATATCTATGTATAATTGCACGTACGAGACGTATACACAGGTCGTTTCTATCGAGTACAGGTAAATCGGCAGCTATCTTTAACAGTACCGAGTTAGAACTAAAACCACAGCACCCCATTTTTGAGTCACTCAAGACACGCTGGAATCCCTGAAAGCTGTGTCAGCATTTGTATCTTGTAATTATGAGATGCCGTGCTCTGCTTGGTGAAAGACTCGCTGAAAATGCGTTTAAGCAGTCAAGAGAATAATAATAATAGTAAACAAGTCGATTCACAGTTTGCTATGAGTTACAGAGTAAGCATGTAAACACATACTGCACGCACTATGTAAGCCTGACCTGTGACGTTGAATCTGTTGTTTTTAAGTCTGAGGCGTTTTAGTTTTGCCATTTGATAGACATTCACTAACGTACACAGAACGACATCTCTAAATAGCAAACCATTGTGCGTATTGGTCGAAAGAGTGGCACACGCAGACTCATCCAAAAAATTTTTTTACCTCTTTTTTAAAGTAGCTGCTGTGAGCTACACTAGCTAACAGGGGCTGTACATCTGACGTTTATGATTAAGTGCACCGTCGGCGTGCAGGGACGGCTGGTACCTCTCCGTGAATTCACCTTACCTTTTACTTGATCACTTTGCCTTGCGTTGGCAACTTAGGTACGAGCGTTTGAACAAAGATGGAAATCGTAGCAACGAATAATAATTGACTGGCCATAGTCCTTGATCTGTTTCCGATGATATGCGAACCATTCGAAACGCAAAACAGTGCTCAGCTTAATTTCGAAATCACATAATGTATAAGTGTGCAAAGCCAGCATTCCGTAGTCGTTTTATAACGGGCTAAAATAGCTAGAGAAAGCCTTTCTTTTTGATGGTGTACTATATATCTTTTCGTGTTGTGACGGAATCAATTCGAATTGACCGTAAGTCGGCATAAACCGTGAACAAAACCAAGAAAGCTTTGAGCAAACAATATCGTGTGTACACATACAATAGTAATAGATATAAATATAGTAATGCCTATAATATATTTTACCATATCAGTCGTGCGGTTCTATTAGTATATTACTATTATTAGGACCCAAAGCATCGCAGCTGCCTACGTGCACGAAGACATACGACTGTGTACGTATGTCCAGTAAATACCCTTGATTATGGCGATCTCCGTCTGGCATTTAAGCTGTAGCCATTGTTATATACGAGTGTTTTGAACGAGAATTATTATGGTCTTTTATCATGGTCACCAAGTTTGGCTCATAACGTATCTAAAGTTTTGATGACATATGTTAACATTAGATTTTACCATCAACACCTGACTTGTACCTGTGCACTTAAAAACGTGTATCTCCTCGTTTTCTGGTTTACAACTTTTTTTATTCACTGGTGCAGAAAATCTTTACTCAGACTGTGTCGCTAAAACGTTAGAGATAAATTTACCCATTTTAACACCGGAGTTTTATAGCCAAATTAAAATTTTTAGACTACCAAGTTGACTTTGCCGAACTATATCTTATATATTATACATATATATATATATATATATATATATATATATATATATATATGATACTGAGTATCTGTGGAGCTCAAATGGATGTGTTATTTTATAATACGCTATTGGATGCCTAATAGTGAGACGCATTAGAAACTGCGAAGGGGCGTATTTTCCTAGCAAATCCAGGTTTATCTCGAAACAAATAAGTCCTCATTTACTACGTGATATACTTAGCGGATTTGTATGATAAGCAAGCAATTTTGGTGATTATAGAGATATAGGTAGGTGATTTTCTACTACAACATACGAAAACCATCAAACTGCTCGTCCTAGCAAACTGAATTTTCTTAGGAGATCTGGTTATGAGCTCTATACAGACACCATTCTTTAGATCTAGCGAACATACCTAGATGCTACAATTGTAGCACTAATCGTCGGTGCTTTATTGAACTCACTCAGACAGGTCATGGATCTGATCATGCCTTTATTTCCTTACGAGAAAAAGGCGTTATTCTAGCCATTCGACAGCTAATGTAGTTAGATACCAGCAAGCAACAGATTAGGGACCAACTGAGGATAAAAGGCATGGCGGTATTTATCGCAATTTCCGTCATTAAAAACGTTTCATCTACTAATGCTTTAATAACGATCTGTTTTTCAACTGGCCAAACAGATAACCTAGTGTATTGGCCACAAGTGTAATAGAATATATCCAACATTTCATCTTCTAGGCGCAGTCCCGCTTGGCGATAGACCCGTGTTTCCGCCGCAGTACACGGCTGCTGGCTACATCCTTTTGCCGTATTGTGAGTTGAAGGAGCCTTTTGTTGCTTACTACGATGGCAACGTCGGGAAGTCCCGAATTGATTTTTACAATGGAGAGATGAAGACATTCATGAGCAAGCAAGGTCAGTTTAGGATTTTTATTCTTAGAGTCTTTGTACTGTCCGCATGAATCTTTTAGCTGAGAAATTGTAGAGAAAGATAGCTTTATTTTTCAACTCTTTAGAAAAATTGAAGACATGCTTAATTGGCAATCACTATCTATGTTGTTTGGGAATTTTACAAAATTTTTACATTGTTTTTTGTGGTTTTGTTTGCCTTGTTTCCACTTTGCTCCCTTATATCTTCTCCCTGCAAAAAAAAAATGACGAAATATCTAGAGATTAATCTATCTATTAATAGCACAGCTGTATATTCTAATTTGAGTACTCTCATCCCGATAACAACTAATTAATTCGACAATAATAATATAGTTGCACGCATACAAACTCGTCAAAGGTTATCTTATGGATATTGTTTGGTTTTGCTCATACCTAAAGTATCGGGTGGTGCATAACGTCTTCGTTAGTTCTTAGATAGTAGGCTTAAAACATGAACTGAAAAAAGCTTTACCACAAAATGACTGAATTATTTTGGTGCTTCTCTGCCAAAGGTTCGTACAAGGTAGTGTGGTCTCCGAATGAAAAGACTCACGTGCCCGAAGAAAACTGCTATTTGGCTGGCGCAGAGGATGCGCAGACCGTTTTACCAGACCTAAGTCAATTCAAATTCATCCGGACCGAACCTTGCGAGACCGGCTCAACGACGCTTGTAAAACCTTTCCTTCGTTCCTCGAAATGCTATCGCTACGAGAATAAAGTTCAAAGATTTGGCCGGACCTCTAAGTATACGTTCTGGGCCGCACAGTGAGTATCCTTGAAACTACGGCTTACCACAGTAAACAGCGCTTAATGCTGAGTGCTATAGCTGTTATAGCTGAATAACAAAGCAACAGATATTGGTGGGGTCTTGGTGTCTTCGTGCGTTTATGTACAGTTCTACCTGTTTTTGAACGGCCTTTTCAGAGATGAGAACGGTACTACTCCTATCCGGTATGAAATGCTTGGATACGATTCATTGCTCGGCTCGCATTTTGACAAGTACGAAATTGTCTACTCTGACTATAGGGCCGGACCTGTCGACCGGGATATGTTTAAAGTTAACGAAGTTATTAGTAAGTACCTCGAAAGTCATGCTTTTTGCCAATGAATAGCATATATTATGTACCAGTTAGAAGCTTCAAACAAACCTAAAGACTCCAATTTGTTTTTGGCAGTTATTATTAATATTTTGTACTCATATATCCCCCCGGTCGACTTTAAACAATAAATACTTCACCTTACATTTTAACTTGCGTTAGGTTTACTAACCAATTGCTGCATATTTATTTAGAAAAAGATTGCATCGATTTTCCCTCACCACCGGGTCTCTCTTCGGCTCATCTTTTTAATCCTATGAGGCAGTTCATCAATGGCCACGATGCCCACGTCGACGAGCACTTCAGTCACTTCAAGAGCACTCACGGCAAAGAGTATGCTCACCAAACCGAAGAGACTATTCGCAAAGACAACTTCCGTCATAACCAACGCTTTGTTGATTCTATGAACCGTCGTAATCTCAGTTACGCACTAAAGCTTAATAATCGCGCCGACTGGAGCAGGGAAGAGTTAAAACTGATTCGAGGTCGTTTGCAACAAACCAACGCCAAATCTTACGGCAAGGTTTTCCCCATGAAGCTTTTCGCGCAGCGTCCCCTTCCTGATTATGTCGATTGGCGCCTAGAGGGAGCTGTTTCGCCCGTCAAAGATCAGGCCATATGCGGTTCATGCTGGAGCTTTGCCACCGTGGGCCACATAGAGGGCATCTATTTCCTCAAGTACGGAGAGTTGATTCGCTTCTCTGAGCAGCAACTCATTGACTGTTCATGGTCGTCTGGAAATGATGCGTGCGATGGAGGTCTCGACTTTATCTCCTATGACTACATCAAGAAATACGGTCTTTCATCAGACGAGCAGTACGGGCCTTACCGTGGCATTGTACGTATTCAAGAATAGGAACGTTCGTTTTCTTTTTTAAAGTTTTTCAATATTAGGCCAGTATTATGTTTTTTTATCTGTTTTTCGTACATGAAACTTCGTACGTTTCATGCATTTCAATTTATGTTCACACTGATAATACTTATTTATTGTGTATTATCTGGGCGAACTATTACATTTTGCCCTTGCAAGTATAATTTTTGAGGATTATTTGCGACCATCATTCAGCTGCGTTTACAGTCCATATCTAACTTTATTTACAAACAAGATCGTAAAACGCTTGTATTATCTATTTACATTGCGGCCAGGATGGTAAATGCAAGGACATCGAGTTTAAAACCAAACCCATCGCGACCTTAAAGGGCTACACGAATGTGACCAACGAAAATGAGCTACGCAAAGCACTTGCTTTTGTTGGTCCCATCTCAGTATCTATAGACGCTTCGAGGCCTTCCTTCTCTTTCTATTCGCACGGAGTGTACAAGGATCCTGACTGCAGTAAGTAAAACCACAACCATATTATACCGTAGTATTTTGCACAATCATAATAATAATAAATATTATTCTTTATTAAACTGTACGTGCATTCTATTTAGGCTCGACGGAACTAGATCACGCCGTTTTGGCCGTTGGTTATGGCACCCTCCACGGCGAGCCTTACTGGCTAATCAAGAACTCCTGGTCTACCCATTGGGGTAACGATGGCTATGTCCTGATCTCGCAGGAGGACAACATGTGCGGCGTTACTTCTCAGGCGACGTACGTAGAACTATAGGAGTCGCTTGTTAGTACATGATTCTCAGAATTTTATCCAACACACTACACTAAAGACTTGAAACTGTGTCTCGTAATATAGATGTGCATATATTTCAGTACTGTGTAATTGAAAAAACTGATATCTCTGTCCATGTGAAAAAGTACCGTATACTCGACAGGATTCATAATAATAATAATAATAATAATCGCAATAAAATGATAATAGTTTACTGCGACAAATTCCCCTGTCTATAGTTACTGCCTATCGGCTATACATTTTACGAGCTTGTTTCGGGTTGTTTTGAAGTGTTCTTCGCTTCGTTGTACTTTGCTTTGGTACTCCTGCCAGGTAGTTGTGGCTAGCAGTTTTTAATTAAAAGTATACTAATGTGATCGTTAAACAGAATTAGCGTGCAATTATTTCATAGCTTACATACTCTGCTGTACGAGAGCAAGGGAACCTCAAGATTCACCTTCATTTGTCTCTCGTAACACTTATACGGGGCAAGCTTTTTCTACTATCTTAACGTAATGGCGTACCAGTAGGTATTGCTCATAGGTTCCTTAGAACTTAAATGGCCAAAGGAACGATTACTATTTAACGAACTGTAAGACTCCTCATCAAAATTTCTATAGGAAGCATTTCTTTCACCTTCTCATTCGGAGACATAAAAGCTCGCTATCAAAAAACGGCTGGCAGAGCTATAACGACACGTCAAAGATCAAGATTACCTCTTTCCAATACTTCCAGCCAATTCTGTAGTTTTCTAAAGGCTAATGTTTGGGAAATCGTGGAAAAATGATGATATGTCTCGTATAGCTGGATCCACAAGGTGGTACGATGGATCTTCGGATCCGAAGCGACAGGTGCTACTGACTTAAATATACTCACATCGAACTATAACCACCTACTCTCTAAATACCCATGCCTCGACAATGTACTAAATGTTTCGTAATTGCTAGCTAAAATGATAACACCAGCTTCGTTAACTTTAATAAATAGTCGCTTTTAATCGGCATTTTTAATGGTTTTCCACTTCGGAATTGGGAGCTGCTTCCTTTCCATGTTTCTAGTAGCATGTATTTTCCTCGTTCCCTGTCTATTTACAATGTGTGTATATTAATAATAATGAATAGTATTATTATTCGCGTATCAACCTAGTCATCACTTACTTCATTGACCATCGTTATCCGTTTTGTCATACATGGTTTTTTTTAGGCATTTTGGTTTATGCACACTCAGGTGCGTGCATTTTCGTAGATTTTCCGATAATGATTCTCTTCTTTTCGCCACTTATTTCTCTGTGTGGTATTTTCCCAAATCTCCTTTTTCCATACTAGTTCTTCAATCGTCACCATAGCCCCCATTATAGTTTTTATCACTTGTTGACTTAAATCCAGCATTTTTTTTGTCCCTGTTCCTCTGTTACTGTATGTATCTATGTATATAGTGTCTCTGCAACTTTGTACATAATTGTATATGTCCCCATAGATCCGGTACAGACACTATTCCGTCCTTCAGTACGAAGTCAGGGGCATCATTAACATGCCGGCAGTTCATCTGAATTATAAACGCTATGACATCTAATTCACTGTTACACACTAAGGTGATTATTATTATTACTGTTGTTAATTATGATTATTATTGGTGCTAGCAGGGGATTCTATTATTGTATATATATATATACCTTTATATAAGATACTATCTAAATGTCTATATACCTAGCAGCTGTTGTAACGACGGTGATCTACAAACGCTGACCATACAATCAATTTTATTCGCTCACGAAGAGTCCCCCGGGATGGGTATACAGTGATAGGAAAAGTACGACTATCCGCTTTGGCCACAGACCATGAATTTGCATTTTAAGGGTACTCATTGCACAAACCGTTCCGTTCTTCCCATGCTGGGAAACGCAGCTTGTTACTCTCAATGTAAAGCTGAGTTATTGCATGGATGACACAAAGATAGTCATATATATATATATATATATATAGGTGTAATTTTTAATCGACTTTTCAGGAGCAGAAATTCTTTGACTCGTAGAAAGAGCTGTTGTTCATTGCTGTTTTGAATGATTTTAAACGGGTTACTTATATTAGTGGGGCGTTGTTTTCGTCACCGTCAGGGGCCAGATACGGTATACGCTTCGTGTATAAATGGAACACCAAACGGAATCTACATGAATATTTTTTCAAGAGTTTCTCCGCTGATTTGCAAATAAATACGTAGGCCAAACACAGTCAAGTAATTATCATGGTCAGCGCATCTATCTTATAGTACTTGAATACTTGCGTACGTAGACTAAATAGTACCTCATTAATAGTTTGTTTTGTTTTCTGTTTGATGCTATTATGAAAAATAAACTTTCAATCAGGCGTCGTGTTGCAACAGTGAACGTGTCATCATATTCCCATCCACGTCTCTTTGTTATTAATCCATCGTTTTGCATACTACTCCGTACAGCGGAATTTTTTTTCTGACCTCCAAAACATGTCGTACAGGTATTGGCCTATCAGGAGACTAATCCAAGCGCACTTTTTTTTCGACCTATCAGGCTTTGCCGAAAGAACTTACTTCTCTTTTTCCAGAGCTCTCGCTGAACCCTACTTGTCGCAGTACAATTAACACTTTCAGAAAGATAAATCGTAATATCTGTCCCATCGTTTAGTTTCATTGCTTTGCAGAAGGTAAAAGTGTTTGCGTGAGACAAATAGGAACTGAAATAATACAAATTCGCCTTATTTCCCCAATGTCTCTTCTTGCCTTTTGTATTTTTGTTTGTTCTGCGAACTGTTATTGTTATTACTAGTTGTTTATCATAACACTAAGATTCATTGGAAAAACTTTTTACTTAAAGCCAACATCTCGTATGGTGCTAAGTTTAAGAGGTGGGGGGGGGGGGAATAAGGGGAGAACTTTGAAGATGGAAGCATGTCGTCAAACTTATTATTTTACCTATTAACCTTTACCTACAGGGGTTAGAACCTAAACAGTTGAAGTACTTGATTCCTGGAAAGACCCTTTTTGGGCCTTCGTTATGGAGTCTGCAATTACTACTGATGGCTTATCTTAATAATAGAATTATCCATATATCCATGCACAATTGTTATAACTACCGATCTCGCTTCATCTCAGACAGTTACCTCTGCCAAGCTTTTGCTAGAGCTGCTTCCATAGTTTGTCGGCCTATTCTCAATTTTGTATCTATATAAAACTATTCATTTAATTTGCTATGTATGAATAAATATTTTAGCAAGGGAAAACAAACGTGGTAAACCGCATGTTGACAAGACTTTTTTTGATCTGGAGTTCCTTTTACGTTTCTCGATACATTACAAAATACGTGTTCAGCTAGGGCTCCAATCGACCAGTGAGCTGAATATATAAAGCATGTAATCGCAGCGAATAACAGTGACTAACGTTATTCGAAAAAATGTATCTGTATTTAATTCACGTTGAAATTTACCAACCGTACACCCCCGGCTTTAGAAAAATGGTTTACATTTTGTTGCGTAGTAAATAAATGTAGACCTGTAAATAGGTTGACGGGAAATGTATAGCAAGGTACAAAGTGTCTTTGAGATCTACGATTTTTCCTGGGTGCCGTTCTCGAATAGAAATAAGGAATAAAAAAAGAGAAGGTCAGATAATTTTTATATTCGCTGACAACTCGAATTATTGCACAGCAATCACCCCTATGACGAGTGTTCCGCATCTTTCGAATAGATAAAAAGCTTACCGCAAATACATCCCGTATCGACTATATGGTTTAACAAGTTCTTATGTCTGTCGGAAATTGCATTGCAATGCAACGTTACATACAATACTTCATCCAACCTTTGGCAGAGTAATGCCAACGCTGTCGGTCTCGCTATTATAAAAGTGGTTTACCATTGTAACCAATAGGCTCCTTATACGATGTCGACCGAATACTGCTATCTGGACTGCAATGTTCTACTTCGTTCGGTTCTATTACAACGCGTTATATAAAGGTAGAGGAGGCGGGCTATTCTGTCACAGAATTAGTCCTGTCGTTTCTTCGAACCGAAAAAAGGCCAATCATATTGACATCATACACATCGCGTTACTGCGGATAGACTACTGAAACAACAAAATATTACTGAATTTGCTAGTTTATTGATAAGCAAGTCTCAATTCAGCTAATGAGTTTTTTCGTTTTACTGGTTTCATTACGATAAAACAAGCTGGAAACACAGTTATGATAGTTGCATTCTGCTGGCACGCAACACCCACTCTGATGATGGCCTACATGTTTGCTAACCACCTGTTCCGACATATAACGAGTGACCTACCCGATCATAAAGTCCGTCTCGTTAATAATAATGATAATAACTAACAATGATATTTTATAATTGTGGTAAGATTAGCAGACTTATTACTAGTGTTTATATATATATGCTAATCTGTTGTTACTGGCCTACGCCCATTTCCCACAGTCCTTACATCGCCATTAAGTTGAAAACGTATCGTTTTACAATTAATTATCAATTCCCCAGACACGATCAACGCTGTATAGACCCAAGCTATTGAGGCCATCATTACCGCCTGGAACTTCGCTGGAGATAGCAATAACAGTTGCAGTAATACACTTCTGTACTAATCTCCATCAACTTAGAGCCAAGCGTGAGCAGGCAAAAAGAGGCTGAAATAGACACGCTTTCAGGTCGGCCATGCAATTGGTAAGGAGTTGTTATATTCTTATCCGGTAATTGTAGCAGTATCCATCTATAATAGATGCCATAGTTGGTGTTTTCGATTAAGCTGACGACTGGATCAAGCTACGTATCAGCTTATCGGTTGGGTTATTTCTGCCTTTATCGCTTATTCGCTTGTTATCGCATTGTCTATGTCTTCCTGTATGTACCACGTAATTATGCTATTTGCATTGCTACGTGGCTGTCTATCTATTGGCTATGTCATCATTCAATCTAACAATTGCCTGATGCAGGCGTGCGGCCGATCAGATAGACGGTCTGCCAAATAACAGAGAAGCAGATGTTTGCAACATTTACGTTTAGTGGCTACTTCCCGCCGTCCCGGCCGTCGAACTGGTGCTGGGACCTTGATTTGCTGGCAATGTTGTAATGCTGGTCGTATGCTGAGGCGTTGTTTGTGGTGAATCTGTTAGCGGTTTCAGCTCGCGGATTTGTCGGATCAGGTAGGCTTTTTCATCGTTGAACTGCTCGTCGTCGGCCCGATCTGTGTGGAATCTGTAAGATATGCACAAATGCATTACCACCAAAATGAATGGGCAGAAAGAGAGGTGTGCAATGCATAAGTAGAAGGCTCAACAGTGACGACAAATCACGCCACCGAAACTAACAACAAAGTTCAGAGTTTGCCACCGAATTGGGAACGGCAATTCATCAAAGGAGGGCAACGGCTTGTGCCGCGTTAATCCTGAGAAGGATAGTGAAATTAGGAACGATGGAAGGAAGTTGCGGCACGTCTTCCGAAAGCTCTGTCGTTTTCCGACATGTCAATGAGCCTACTATAAGTTAGATGAACAATCTCCGGCGCTGACTAATTTCGTCGAATTTTCCATATGGAAAGCGCACGATTAGTTTCACTCGTCAGATCCACAAGCCACTCCATTGAGAGAAGAATGTCCAGCATGCAGCGATATTACCTATTCTGCTTGATCGGTCAAATGCAATAGATATAGATCAACCAACAGCATCAGCAGTAAGAGGCACAGTAATGAATTTTGATCGGCCAGAGTAAGCTGATCAATTTTTCTTTCGGACATAAGCAACGTGGCCATAACTGTACACCTTCTACTGCGGCTGCGAATAGAAACAAATTATTAGTTCCCTACCATACAAAAAAACACACAACAGAATTTCGCTTTGTGCATGTTTCTATTGTAGATTTCGTACGCGATTGTCACTGCCAAGGCCTTTTCTAGGATCAAAGAGACTGAAGAAGCAGGAAATGAAGTTGTCATGTATGTACGCTACGAACCTCGTTAGGAAGTCGACAAGTTTATCTCGATTTCGCAGTAGAATGTCGAGAATTGGCTTCGGTTTATTGGGATTGGCAACAAAGACCTTGAACACATGAAACGCCTCAAACTGGATATTTCGCGACCGCTCCTTTAGCATTATCATCATAAGCTTAAGGTTATCTGCAGACGAGATGTACCTTTGTAATAAAACAGATAATACGTTAGAAAAATGCTACGTTATTGATCAGAATTAACTGAATAATTTAGGTTATAGCTAAATGCCATTGGTTGACATCATTATAAAGTTTGGCAGTGGAAGGTTAAATATGAAAAAAAAAATCGAGAATAAACTTCTATTTAAAATGGTCTTTACAATTAGTCTTGATAGTTCAATCAAATTGATTACTTTGTCATGATGTTGAAGTTGTGTCGATCGAGGAGAAGTTCCCCAAGCAGCTTGAGAGACTGCCGTTTCGTGACGTAATTGTCGCTGTTGAGAAGCGCTTGGTAATGGTTAAACACCTTATCGTAGTTGGTTTCAAGAAATTCCGCCGATAAAACCTTAACGATACGAATCGAGAACGAAAAAAAATCCAAGCAAAATAAGCCTTAAGCTCAGGAATGATACGAATGCCTCATCTTTGCTACAAGTTTACTATGAGGGGCATTATAGTCGTTTCTAAGCTTGTAATTGGCGATCCTTAATGACATATGTAAATCGGTTAAACGAAATATCATATATATGATGATAATAACATGTAATATGTACACACGACGTTTTGTCTACATTTTCCATCGACGATGACGATTAATTCGCACCGATACCACCGTGATGCTATCTCTGTCCCCAAGGAAACGATATAAGATAAAAATAATAATTTATATATATATATCCTATATTCTGACTAGGACCCATACCTTATGGCGCGTAAGTAGTTCCTTGAATGTTGAGAAGGCATCAGATGCAATATCAAATGAAGACGACTCGATAAAACCGAAAAATTTGTAGAAGTCCTCTGAGCAGAGTACAAGTTTGGCGAGGCTTTCATGCCGCGCACATTCGCGAAGCATTCCACCGCAATTTAGTGCGATATCCTGCTTTTCGTAGCCTGCGATTAGCGTGAAGACAATTGGCGGTTTCATTAAAATATATTCGACTGTTGGATACCGTTGACCTATCTGCCGTCGTAGGATATTGTTGAAGATCAAGGCCACGTCCTTTTTACCCTCAAAGTCTATCTTCTGAAGGTTTTCAATAAGCATATAGAGCAGATTGGACGTATACAACTCCTGCAACAAGATCAAACCAAAAAGATTACCACTAGAGTTTTAGTTAACGGACTATAGATATATCAAGGGTCAGAATAACAAAGGTAAAGCCTTTAAAGAAACACATTTGTTTGTTAGAAAAAACTGTCTTGGCACCATTAACTGATTTCTATGTCTTTGGAGCTGAATGTTAAGATTTCATACAATGGATAATGTATGAATACTAGCTAGCATTTTCATATACCCCGCTATTGTAGTGTTCCAGTTAGTATTACCAAAATACATTTAATGTATTCGTGTGTGAGATGCATTATTTTTTGACCATGCGAACGAGTCCTCTTCTTGACAGCAGACGTGGTTGCCTCTTTCTTTCGCGCAGTTCACCACAAGCTCGTCAGATCAGCGAATATGATCAACCAATCTACTTGATCTCCTCGTCGCCGTAGTCTAACAGCTTTTATTACAAACGCACAATTTGCCCCTTAAATGCCCCCTTCTGTTTTCAGGCTTTTTTCTGATAATAACAGTTCAGACGAGTTTGAATTGCCATGGCTCTGCACCTTACCCGCTAGCCTTGTACGACAGACACACGACAACCTTATATTCTTACAAGATGGATTGCTTTAATAACAACGGCTAGTTCAAGTTTAGCCATCTACATGTACTACTCAATATTTGTGGTCAATAAGAAACGCCATAACAACAGGCCGTGCGTTCGAACAACGCACGGCTCCCTCACAGACTGGCCGCATGGCAAGATAGTATGAAACGCTAGTATTATTACAATCGTCGCACCATAGATTGTTATTACTATATGACATGACTTTATCCTACTTACGAAGTTCTCTGTCTCTATCCAGTACTAATTCGACAGCTGGATTGAGTCTTTACCACGAGGTAACAACAAAACTGTCTGAGTGAAGCGCCCAAAAGGCAGATTGAGATTTGTCAACAAAAAGGTGTGACGGTAAAATTAATGATCATCGACCAACTGCCGCGCCTCACCGTTGGCAGAGATGAGCTGCAGAAAAGAAATATATGCGCGGACGACGCCATTTATTCGATCCTATCCTATTACGGAAATTAGCATGTTTTGCGTCAAGCTAGTTGTTATGGCCACATGCAAGGGAGCGTTATAGATATTTCCAACAATGAGCTGCTTTTAACAAGCTACGTCTGAATAATTGATTACTTTCGATTAAAATGCACTCCGTTCACGACTCTTCTGACCCTTGCTTTGACTGACATCCGGCTGGTTAGAATCAATGAACTACAAGTATAGATATAGGGCTGCCTTGAAAGCATTGAAGCAGAATAAGCAATGGTGATTATCTACGGCTCTACCCTCTACCAAACTCAGATACCTCGAAATAAATCAACATGATAATCAAAGCTCCAGCAGAAAAACAAAAAACAAGTAGAAATAATTATCTGTAGAATACTCGTCGCGCTTCGTCACCGCTCTGAGTATAATATGCCGCAGTTATACATTTCATTTCGGTAACAAATGTTATCGTAGTCTAACAGAATTCCTCTTTCAAAAACCTTAGCTTTCTCTTCCAGAAACTCTAGCTTCTGCGGTAATAGGCGCCAATATTATTACCCAGTATTCCAAGTGTACCCAGTAAACTATTCCAGGTGATTGTTTTAGGCCCACCACGTCGCAGGCCGAAATGGTGAATTGCGAGAACGTTGACGCTAAGTGGTTTATCTGTTACGAAGAAGAAAAGCAGTCTTCCTCGAACAACCTAAAGCAATAACCCCTGTGAATAACTGAAGACACCGACATCCACCTCTCTGCCAGCCAGAAGATCGCGGCCCTTCAGGATACATTCCTCGACATGACTATTATATTTAGAACCTCCTACCGCCGTCCTTAAAAGGGAGGTATCCTGTACAAATATATATTATATCTATATATTTTAATGTGCAAAATATCTTCATAACTGGGTCACATTTGATTAGTATCAATCTAGTGTATAGTAACTATTATAGTATTAAACGAACTGCGTGGTCGGAAGGCAATGTCTGACAGCACCGAACCATGAAATATAGTTTGAGCGTTTAGATCTTCTGTGTGCCTTTAGTTAGGGTGTATGTTGACATGGGCTCACTTCGTTATAGAAGTAGAAACAAGCATGATCCGCCATCATCGATTAGTCTATGGCATCAATTCCCATAGACTTGCTTTGGCTAGCATCGATAACAAAGACTGTGACGGCGCTTAAGACTCAAAGTAAGGGTCGGCTATTCTCATTGACCACATTATAATTCCCAGGAAGTTTGCAGCCTGGACCGCTTGAATCACCTGCTTAGCTAGAGCGGCGTTACGAGCAGTACCGTAATATAGTTCGCTGGCTGGCTAGCTAACCCAATTGACATTATCACACGTCTACAAATCTACTTCTATTTCCCTAGGAGATGCATATCAGAACCAATTTCAGTGAAACTCGTTAGATCCGTTTAGAGAACTCGCTGATATAGGGGAAAGGGTCCAAGCTTATAAAGTGTGTCAGTTGACCTTTAGCAGGAACATGGCCAAATCCTATGCAGCAAAAACAGCTCAATACGCATAGTCGTCGATGTAATTAGAGAATAGACAACAAAACATAGTTTTAGATTTTTTGAGTATATTGTAATCCTCATTATAATTTCTATAGAGTAGTATCGCGTATGTAAAAGCTAACCATGTAAAACTAACATGATAACATATTGTCCCCTACTAGCAAATTCACTTTACGAGGACATAATCCTTAATCAGGCAATGGCTTGAAGTAGAGAGAGGGCCCATCACCCTCGCTGTAGTCTTCATTAAGCAAAAACAGTTCACATAAAATGCAACGCAATAATAGCAAAAGTACAACGCATCTCCTTGGCTTCTAGTAAAAAGGGCACGGCTTTCGTTTCGTCATGTAGATGGCTCAAACAAACAACACAGCATTTATGATCTAAGCAAACCAGTGACGGGTATGGCAAAACAATATGTCGTGCTTCAGCACGACTTTCGTGACCAAAGATATATATCTCATTAAATCTACGTAAATTCAGCTAAATAAGCCCATAGCATTTTGCAACCGAACGAATATGGCGGCACTAGACTTCAAAACGGCAATAAAGAATCATCAAGATGGTCAAGATCCGTACAGTCAGCTGTGCATACTGTTCCCTACTGACGCACAGTCACTTTAGGAAATGGTGGATAGCAAAAAGCGTTGCGTGCACTTATAGCTAGATTCTCTCGCCGCCGTTGGATCTTCCAGGGTTGAAGCCTCGGTAAGCCAACAAATATAGCCCTTACGGTTGTTATATGTTAGCCGTTCTCCGTGTTTACGTGCTCCAAACGACAGTCGGAGCTAACGATATCATGGGATCATGGAGCAATCATTTCTAGATAACGGATTTTAACGGTTAACTATTTTAGACTAGTGAGTTTGAGTGTCTGGAGTAGCCGTGTCAGAAGTTCACGAGACTGGTATGATTAAATCCAGCTGATTGGACCTAATGCGTATAAGGTTGTAATGCAACTAACAGATATAAGAGAGAATTATTAAACTGGCAACAAATTCTGTTTTATTGCTATTGACCAGGGACTCGCTCTGGGTTCAAGTATGCCTGTTGCAGGCTTTTTTTCTGATAAAACTGACATTTTCGTGAAAATCATTTTAATGAGTCGTGAGTAAAGAATATAAGTAAGCGTATGTTTTGGCTAATGGAACTAATATAAGTGGATTACTGCAGCACAGGTTAGAACGAGTTCGTGGATGAAGCATGAGTCGATTTTCGATATTCTGATGCCACGTTTATAGTATTTTCAATTATAAATGAGCGCCTCCATCAAGCGGCACTCACGACGCCTGGATCGAAGGAAAATTCTAATTGGTCAAGCTGCACTAACCCTTGGAAAATTTGGTCTAAGGTATTCCTCACCGCTCCTTTAGAAGCAGCGGTCGCGACTGACATGAGCAGATAAACGATTTTATCGAAGATCTTTTTCTTTTTATAGAGAAGGAAGGCATCCAGCGCCTATACGACGACGAAGACGCTACTTAGTGTGAATGAAGCGGCTGCCAGACAATGCTTTCGACCAGTTTCGAAACGACCCTAAAGGACTTAGGTGGTCTGAGCATAACGTGATTCGATAAATGCGCCATCGATGGCCTTCGTCGTTTCGTGTTTTATCCAGATGTCTGAAGGACTATGAAGAGATTCCACGACGTCTCTGACTGTTTGTGCTGTAACTCCTATAGGAACTGCAAACCTCGTGATAGTAATACTTAGGTGACTTTCACTAATATCTCGTTGCTGACGTTTCCATATTATTTTATAATGTCAATATAATTTGATGGTACCGCATATGCGTTTAAAGCTGAGCAAAGAATATTTCGAGGAGGAATGGCATCAGCTTATTTAATTAGTAACCGTGCTTCTATTTGAGCAATCCACATTCTTTTTCATTTACATCTCTTTCAGTTACTACAAAATAATAGCCCGCATTAAAATGTGTGTATTCGTAACATACGTACCGATGGTCAACAACTTTACACAGAATCGGCCTAAAGAAAGTAAATATCTCAACGTTTAAAGAGGAGCATGACTTGTTAGCGGCATTTCTGTGTTCGACTGGTAGATTTGGGATTATTTAAATTAGAAAGGCGATTTCGCATAGGTGCTCTTGTCCATTTTTTACAAACCTGTTCCAGCGATTTGGTAGTTTCTGCATAGTTATACAATATCATTTGCGTACTCATACGAAATTTCTCTACCTAGGGCTTCCTGAACCTCTGCGGCACTGCTACAGAATTCAATTTCTTCCAAGGGCGACGCCGTTCTCTTGCCTAATCCTTCTCCGGCTAATGGTAGAGATTCAACCATGTCTTGCCTAGGGCGATCGCATGCTCTAGGCGGGTCCTTTTTGTTGATTCAAGTTAGGCAAACTGTACATGGGATAGCTTACATGTACTTCGAGCTGAGTCAGAGTCAATTTACACAACACGGTTCTCTTAATCGGTTTTCGCATTTTC